CGCCTTCTTGTTAGAGACTCATGCCAGCCCTGGAATGAAGTTCTGTGAAGGATCGAGAGCTCTATCGCCCTCAAACAATTGAGGGCACCTCTTGTACCACTAACTGCAGCTCCTTGTGCGGTGTGAAACCATCGAGAGGGTAGGAATGCGGAAACCTACAGGTCATCCTTGAAGAGGAGACATTGTTTGAAATGGACTTCAGAGAGGTGGGCCAGGTCATAGACCAGAGGCGGGGAACTTTTTTGGGTCAGGGGCTGCTGACCCACAGAAAAATCAGTCAAGGGCCACACACAAGGGAGAAGCAAAAACCAAACCAAACCCTCACGGATATAGGCTCCTGGCCCAAAAAAGAGCCCTGAGGGAGGGGAGTGTGCCCAGGCTAGTAGATTTGTGCTCCAGGATCACAGTAGGATAGTAGGGGGGCTGCAGCACCCAAACAGACCCCGCACCCCAATGCCAGAAGGGATCCCTGCGTCTCAGGAGCCAGATCCAGGGAAGCCACATCCCAGACCCTGGGGTTTAGGTTCCCCACCCCTGTCAGACAGTCCAGTGGACTGCTTTATCCATCTATTTGCCAGAGGGAAGTGGTCTATATAATGTTCCAGCAGCTCAGTGGCGGATGTAGGGCAGGGCGAGTGGGGCGGCTGTCCCAGGCCCTGTGCTCAGGGGCAGACTGGCCTGGCGTGATACCACACTTTAAATTCCCCAGGACCGCGCGCCGCATGGTGGAGGAGCGCATGCGCGGCGTGCTGAAACGCCACGCAACACAGGTGAGAGAGGAGATGCCCGGTGAGAGGGGCCCCATGAAACTGTGCTGCTCTGGACCCCGCAAAACTCTCACCCTCCTCTGTAGCAGCTAGTCACTGCTAAAAGCAGTATTAGAAAACATTTAATGTCGTTTCAATAGCTATACTGTTACTAGCAAGCAGGTAATGTGTAGGCCACTCCGAGTAGCACTGGTTTAGAGACTGATCAGACATCTGCATTGTGGCATTACTATGAGGAGAACAAAGGCTTCAGAAATTGGTTGCTATAGCAAGATGATGTTTAATTCAAGGTGATAATTAGGGAAGAGATCTTAATTGTCCCAGCTCCCCTCTGACAGAGGGATCCTAGTCAGGCAGCTCACACTCTGAGCAGAGTAACAGTTTAAAGAATTTGTGACTTAGGGTGCATCTATACAGTAGGGTTTAACTCAAAATAAGCTATGCAAATTGAGCTACGTCAATTGCGTAGCTTATTTTGAAATAGCTTATTTCGAAATTGGGACCATCTACGCAGCACTTATTTTGAAATCGAGCACTCTTCCTCTGACTTCCCTTATTCATACAATGAGGGTTACATGGGTCGGAGAAAGAAGTCCTCCAGCTTGACAGTGTTTCGACATCATTTCGAAATAACTATCTGCTGTGTAGACGTGGACTAAGTTATTTCAAAATAATGCTAGTTATTCTGAAATAATGTTGCTGTGTAGATGTACCCTTAGGAAGAAGCCTTACTCTGAGTCACTTTATACAGTCAAGGAGCCTCTTTTATGCAGCTGCTTCTCAGACTAGCAAGAAAGAAATAGTAAAGTTCATGTTAAGAGAAGATAAGACTTAGGGAGTGTCTACACTACAGAGTTTTTTTCAGAAAAAACGGCCGTTTTTCCAAAAAAACTTCAATGCCGTCCACAATGCAGTCACATTCTTCCAAAAGAAAATACAGGTTTTTCCAGCATTGGTAATCCTCTTTCTACGAGGAAGAAGCCTTTTTCCAAAAGAGCTCTTTCGCAAAAAGGCATGTGTGGACGGGGAAGAGGGAGTTCTTTCGAAAGAAAAGGAAAGAGGAAAAAGCACAGGTGCCCGGGTGGTCACTCCATTCATAGTAATCACAGCTGAAATGCAAGAGAGCGTCCATTCAGAGTGGATGCTATCTTTCGAAAAAGCAGATCGCTTTTTTGATGTGCTTTTGCAGTGTGGACACTCTGCCAAAAGAAGCCTGCAGTCTAGACACAGCCTTAGTGAAATAGGTAATGCCTTCAGGCTGCACATAATGAAATGCATAATTGCTATGTAGAGAGATCTGTGAAAAGCAGCCTTGGTATGAACTTATCTTTAATCAAGCTAAGTATCTTTATGATATAAGTCATCCCTTCTATAAGTTGCCCCGCTATACATCCATTCCACATCAAAGTCGTTGATGCTTGTAGGAACTGATGCATAGTAAGTCCTCCCATTCTCCACTCTTAAATCATGCAACTCCCCCCCCCCCAAAAAAAAATGTGTGCAAATGCATGTCAGCCATGGGGGTGGGAGGCGGGAATCCCCAGTTTAAGTTGTTTTGCTATAAGTCCAAATTTTTTGGAACGTATCTTGGACTTCTAGCAATGACAGCCTGTCTAGGTACAAGTTAGATTGGCTCATGAAGCCAGTTTTAAAGCTGTGTACAGTGAAGTATATTCTCACCCTAGCCTGTACACCTCATGCTCTGCCTGCATGGAATTCAGCCAAAATGAAAATACTAAAGAGCTTAATACAAGACTTTCCTCCTGATCTTCCAATGGAAATGCAACCTCCATTAACATGGCCTAAATTCAGTTGCCATTACTAAGTAGGGTTGCCAGATGATTGAAACAAAAATACCAACCCTCCCCCCAAAAAAAACACTGGGAAAAAATTGTGTTGAAGGAAAAATAAAAGGGGGGGGAGGAGACCAAAGTTGTTGAGCAAAAATAAAAAAAGGACTCCAAGACTTATTACGCAAAAAACAAACAAACAAAAATTTTTAAATAAAACAGCATGGGTATGTCTACACTACCCCCCTAGTTCGAACTAGGGGGGTAATGTATGCATACCGAACTTGCTAATGAAGCCCCGGATTTGAATTTCCTGGGCTTCATTAGCATAAAGCCGGCGCCGCCATTTTTAAAAGCCGGCT